GGCCACCTGGCCACCTGGAAGCGATGAAGACGCTACCGACGATGGTTTCCGGCTCTAGTCCGGAAAGCAGGTGTTCCTTATGAGACAAAGGTCTGACATGTTAAGACCCTGAAGCAGGCTAAGGCCGGACCAAAAAGGCCCGACATAGCACCTACCTGGCTGGACCACTGGAGGCCCTGAATCAAAGATCGCACGAGTCGCACATGTCGTGTCGCAACGACCTGACCTCGGTTCTCACGATTGAACAGATGTAGCTGCATGATATGGTACATCCGTATACCAGCACCGACTTCACATGTCACCAATTGAAACCTGTTGGAGGGCCTAACAATCCTCCATGTCGGAGACCTCTTGGAGGGTGCTGGTAATATATAATATATATATATATACATGTATGCAGTGTATATATATATATGATATGATTATATATGATTATACATGGAAGAGGGTCCAAACCGGGGGACCCTGGTTGACCACTGGTCAATTGAACAGATAGAAATCTATGTTCGGGATGTCAACCGAAAGCATGGTTTGTAGAGTAAGGTATTGACCCACTGCCATATATATTTGGGGGTTGATGTGGGTATGTATCAGAATAGGGAGACCTTGCAAAGACCCGCCTGGAGAAAGGACAATTGACTAGAAGACTCAAACCCATTGGTCGGGTTGGGTGTCTCCATCTCACAAAACCCGCGAAAACACGTGGACTCCAAACCCCGCGCCAGGCGCGCCCTGATGTCGGAATGCGCCTATGGGTCCCTTCACCTTCTTCACCTGATGACCGCTCGAAGAGTCCGTGGGGCATGGGGCACGGCTGGGCTCTGGGTTGTTCAGCCCAGTTTCCATGAGAATTCGGGAACACGCGCATGTTGATTCATGTCACCAACCAACCCATTGTAAACCTTGGTTCTTGAACCACCTATCCTGGTTCCCTTGGATATCCGTTGATGTTCACAAGAATCAGTTAACGGTTATCATATGGTATCTCTTCAAGCAGCTGGTCCCTCCGGTGAATTCGACCGTGTCTGGTGACTATGTCACACGCCCGTGAAGGAGATGGGGCAAGTGGGCTCAGCCAAGCCCGATGGCCCACCAATCCAATGAACCCGATGGCCCACCCGGGGCCCAACTATATCTTATCCGTCTAATATACCTATCAAGCGCCATGACGCACGTATGTTTTTGCTCTGTTTCTGTTTGACTTGCACAGATTGGCAATTGTGATTGTGATGAACGGTACTGTTTGTGTGTATATGAGCCTTCCGCTGTTGATTTGTTACTACTATAGCTTTCCGTAAATACATCAGGTTGCTCATGGTTTTGTGCCCATTAGCCCTCTCCAAGTGCGCTGCATAGAGGTCCATGTCGATGGTGTGAACATGGTCCTGGTGGTCCGACCAGGGCAAGCGCCCATCGGCCGACTGCATGCAACAAGTGTCCATTCGGGCCATCTGGGACCATCAGCCTATCAGCTATAAACTGGGACTTACACACCCAAGCATCTTGACCTCCCAACAAAAACACATTTCCAAACGGCCATGTCTCAGCGTTTTCACAAACAGCTGCCTTGGGCCGCGGCTGTTGCAGCCGTGACACACCACACTTCATTCGTCCGGAAGGCTATATGTTTCAGAATAGATGGCACAAACCAAAAGATGTTTTTTATGTGGGGGTCCATGTACAGTAAACCACCTTTTGGGGATTGCGCCATCTACTCTGAAACCACTGTAGCCGGTCCTTCAACATGGGCAGCACCTCAGGGTACCCGGCGAAGAGCACCTCTGCGGAGACGTTGCCTGGGCCGCGCGCTCGACCGCTCTGCACCGCTCTGCTTTTGCTCCGTCGAACGCATCGGTTGTTCGGTGGCGAGACGAAGACAAACGGGGGAGGGATCACGAGACTTGCAAGTTGGGGAAAAAAGCGAAGGATGTGAAGGATTGGCGTTCTTTTCACTGCATTCTGCAGGTCTTTGGGCTTCTGTGAGCGCCATTCAGCTGGTCTGCTAGAGCTGCTCGCTGCTAGAGCTTTTGTTAAAGATATATGTGGATATGTTTGATGTCTAGATGAAGGAATAACACGCGGACACATACACACGTACAAACACAAACACAAACACAAACAAACACACACACACACACCACACTTGAGGAATTATATCTGAGGATAGAAAACAGTACAACATGACTTTCAAACATAACTGGATCAATGTCGTACCCAAAAGCAGGGGTCCACACTTTTGTCAAGATCAGCCACAAGAATTGCCCCCAAGATCTGACTTGCCGGAATTGACCCAGCAAAACCGGTCCGCCATGGTACTGATGATATCATAGTCTGTGCACTCGAACATGCCAAGGTGAAGCTTCCTGAGGGACTCAAAAGCGGGTGATCTTCTCCGCTGTCAGAATGTTCACAGGGGAGAAATCGGATCGTCTTTGAGATGAAGAACAACGCTTCGTCACTTCGTCCACTGCATTTCATCACATGTAGGGGTGGTCTTGAGAAGGCCTTCTAAACTACGTATTATAAACAACAATTCAGCTACGGCGACGGCCACAACCTGCTAGACTATCCATTTTGGAGTCCGTCTGCTCCTCCTCCGTTCCCCAGGAAACGAAGCATGGGCAGTCCCCGGGCTTTTCAGCAACCATTGGTGCACACCTTTTTTCTATCCTGTTCTTAAGCGTCAACTCAGTCCCATCATCTGTTGGTAGACCACTAGCTTTATGATCTTTATGAGGGTTCAAAGTGGTTCATGAGGGTTCATGATCCAAACGAGACCAGCCCCAGTGTTGTGCGGAACCAAGCCCACGTTGTATTTATGTTGAACCTTGACACCGACATCGCCGATATCTGTGAAAACAATCATAAACAATCGCCAACGTCTCGCCGGCCAAGCACTGCTCCAACTGGATGGATGGGAATCTGAACCATCATACCATGGTTACCTTGGTGAACATCCTCTGTTTTCTCCTCTGCACCCAAAGGCAAAAAGTGGAACCCTTTGACGTGATGAACGTCCCAACCCCAAACAGGATCGCAACGGCAAAGAAAGGTGATCCCCCGGTTGGAAGTGCAAGATACCGTGGCCAGTTTGATTTTCCTGTGGCTTTTGAGACACCTCCAGTGTCAAATAAAGACAACTGTTGGAATGAACATGGACACTCATTAGGAATAGGTTGAGGTCTCTCCATTTGGCACGCATGTCAGGACCATGTTCTCTGTCACGTAACATGTCCCTTCGCTCGCTCCGCCCCCCGCGCGCTAGCGATGAGTCCGCGATCGAGCTTCGCCATGCCCGCCAGCATCCCGACCTGAGGTGAGCTGGGCACCAAAGGTGAGCTGGGGCCCAGTTGGCTGCCATCCAAAACCCCTCGATTTCTTTGCAACAGGCATGAACAAGCCTCCGGTTGATGGTTTCAACTCACTTGAAAAATGTTGGTCAAAGGCTGCTATTTGCTACTAGTAGTAGTAATGCCCTTTGTTACTAGTAGCTTCTTGGCCTAGGACTTGTATCCAGCAACACCCAAACACCCGGCTTCATTTCCTGGCTGTGCCTCATAGGTGTTGGGCGTGACGCAGCTGAAGCAGTAGATGGTCTTCGCACCTGCGCTAGCGGTCCGGCTGAAGAAGCTCTTGGCTTTCAGATATGTGAAGGCATGTGAAGGCCAAAGGTTTCTGATGGTTTATGGCTATGGATTTTATGGGCTCCGAAATCCGTGCAAGAACAGCTCTGGTGGGGTAGGAACTGATCTGGCACTGACCTGCACCTTGCGCACCTTTCACACCTTCGATCATATAGGACCAAACAATTAGGAGCCATCAATAGCACTACAGTGGTCTTGGAGCAAAAAGAAAACGCCACATATTGGACCAAAAGGATATAAGGATCCGGACCGGTGTTTCATGTTTGTGGAATGCTATACTGGTTCGGACATTTGGAATTTGACCAGCCCGGCGTCCGTTCGACCTACAGTACCCCATTTCTGGGCTCCGGGCCCATGGCAGCCACGGGGAGCATCAGCAGCACGCGCAAAAAGTGCGACATCATCTGGAGCGAGGCACATCTGCTCATGCGACGAAGAAAAACCCATGCTGGATTGACATGCAAAACTGGTTCCGGATGTACCAGAATTATGTTCTTCGGCCGATTCCTGTTGGCTGCGTCCTTACTTACCTCCAGCTTAGTTGGCAAAATGATGAGTTCTGAACCACTCGGGAGAGCCTACCATGAGAGATGCAGGAGATCCGCTGTGGCATCTGTGTTGACCTGCGATGGATAACAAATGGATGATTCACTACTATATATACACAAAGATACACATGTGAAATCAGTTCTCTGCCGCACAAATCAGAAAGTCGGGCCATGTTGGGCGCCTGCCTTCCAACCCCAAAACTTAATAGATTATAGATAAATCCAGGCCTACTTCGCCGTCTTCCTCTTCCTTTGCCGTTGGCCTCCAACCCGCCCCCCAACCGGTCGCCGGCCTCCGGGATCGTCGGTTCTGTGGTGCCCCCGGTCCACGAAGCGGTTGGAAACGGCTGCGGTTGAGCAGAGGCGACGGTCTTCGCCATGCCCCGAAACGGAAAGACATACACCTATACGTACAGCTATTAATATATATATAATGTTATATATATTATATACGTAACTATATATATATTCATTATAGATTCGTAAAAATATTAATTACAATGTGTTACATCATACATCAAATTTGGATGGTTCTTGACGGAATAAAACGAAACCTGGACACCGTTTCTGTCTCTGCAGATCTCTGGGGGGAGTCTGGATTGAAACAAAGGAGTTCTTCACTGATGCCGTTCAACCAAGAAGCACCCAGCACCTGCACAACATCTTCAACTGCAGCTTGCTGCCACTTCAGGGACATGCGGATAACACGGGGTCTGCAATGTCATATGTTCATGCCCAATTTCAATCATTGAAGGGACAGGTTGGATTTCATTGCCTTACACCTCCCTCTGCACAAGCTTCGCCGGGCCTTGTCCAAGGAGTAAAAGGACCTCGAAATTGATCAAAGCGACACTCTGTTTTCAGCCATCCGATTTGCTTGTCATGGTAGAACCAAATAATGGTAGAACCCATAATGTCATGACTGCCCGTGGATCAATTTCCTAGCATTCATGTGTATCCGGAACAGCTGCCAAACGTAGGCATACCCCAAAAGATATAACTGAAACACTCAAGGATATTATACCCCCCAGAGAAGGAGTTGCTCAATACGAGTCTTGCACCAAAGAACAACTGTTACCCTTCCCAACGATCAACCATTCGACGGTTTTGAACCATCCCTCGATGGCTGACTGCTGACTATTGATTGCCAAAATCTCATGACCAGCTTATGTCCCCTATCACCCCTAACAACCAAAGCTCTTACCTTCCCTCTCACCACCCTCGATCACTCAACCCAACAAGTAACCTCCACCCTCATCTACCCTCTACATGACTTTCCGCTGCCTTGCACCCCGCAACCAAATGAATTCGCATCAGCTCCAACGGTGTTAAGCTTCCCAACTCCAACTTCCCTGGGTTGTTGATGACAATTTGCAGCGCACTCGACGGACTCACCGGCATTGTCCTCAGTGAAAGGAGGTCCAACACAACAGCTTCCAGTGTCTTCTGTGTGGCCGTCGAACCATTGAGACACTCAGTGAATCCCGGCCAAATATCCACATGGCTGTTAAGATCAAGTCCCGACCGCAAATTCCTTGCTCTCTATGTCTTCAATCGGCTATCCAACATCATATGTCCTGCAACTAGTGAGGCATTCCCTCCCCCAACTCTGAGCCGCTCGGACCGTGTCTTCCATTTCTCCCACTCACTGATGACTTCCCCGGACGCGGTGATACGCTTCGCGTGCGGACAACGCTTGCTCGACGCCGCCGCTTCCGAGTGGCTCGGTGATGCTCAGCCGCTTCCAGGCTCTTCGCTTGGGCGTGCGACTCTTCTTACTGGCCATCTGGCAGCGGAGAGCGGAGAGTCGTTCGGCGTCGGATGGCAGGCTGTGTTTGGCCGGTCAGCCGAGGTCAGCCATGGCGAGGGGCTTTTGGGTATACCGGGTGTCAGGTGAAACGTGGTAAGAAAGTCAGGTGGATGATGAGGGTACCGGAAAAAACATCAGTGGTCAAAATGAAAGGTCTTCTTCCTATGCCTTTTTCAAGTCGACTGAGAACATGAGTTAACCGACTAGGTCGTCTTCACCACCAACCCCTTCACTGGCAGTAGCTCATATATATGTTTTTATGGCACAGGATTCTCTCTCCCGTAATTAGCAACTGACAGGATTGAATTATGCACAGAATGGATGTGAGTCCAGACTGGGTGTTGGTCAAATCCTCTGACTGAACAACACCCAAATAATCCCAAATGTAGATTGATGTGCATTTCCTGCAACTAACAAACATGAACTCTGGTGGACAATTCATGTACAGTAGGTGCCTGGAAAACGAGTCTCCCCACAAAAGAACTACAATTCATCCGTGCCTAGCGCGCCTCTCCACTATGCTCAACATGCCAGGTCTGCTGTGCCACCCGAGGTATCACTATCTGCGCACAACGAACGACGATCGCAAGATGGGAAGAAAAAGAACACGTGGTTTCCAATGATGCGGTGAAGGCAGTGTAAGGAAATGGCAGGCGGTCAAGCGTTTGATGGTCTTCAAAATCATGGTTTCCAGTACATCACAATGGCCTGGAAACGTGTTGTTGGGTTGACCAATGCGGGATTCTATCAGACCTAGCTTGGGAGGATGGTAACACAAGGTGACCGGGACGAAGTTATCCGCTGTAGCGGATTTCAGGGAGGTAAAGCGGGCAAGGGAATATAAGGTCACATAACTAGATGTGCGCTGGCTGTACATTTTTGATAGAGTACATCATGTATAACAGGGGTTCAGAAGTGACCTTTGGCACTGTTTAGTGTAGATTTCCAGCAGAGATGCGTTAAAAGCGTGGCGGCTCACAGGTCTCCGCTTCAAACATGGTGTTCTTGTGGTGCGCGCCAACAACAACAACAACAACAACAACAACAGCCACAACCACAGCCACAGCCACAACCCACAACCCAACCACAACAACGACGACGAGGACGACAACAAGAATAACCAGAACAAGAACAACAACATCAACACAAACTAGCAACAACAACATCAACGGCTGCGGACCAGCGGTATCTGAAAGCCGGACAAATATCACATCTATATAGAGGTATTTATATGGGTCACTTTAACTGTTCTCACTTTAACTGTTATCACACCCGAATCCTGAAAGGACCTCAAGCCAAATGCGTTCAAAACGACGTCTTATCTGACCAAAGGCCCTGGAAGCTCTGCTTCAATACCGGCACTTCTGATGCAATTGATCTCCTTAGAAGATCCAATGCCAAGCAGTTTTTGCAACACGGTTTTGCAAGACACCACCGACAACATCGGACAAAAGGGCAACAACAGCCCTTATGGCATCGCCGGTGTGCGAAGCTCTACAATAAATTTTATATATATATCGCTTAATCATCATCACTATTACAAAGGCCACACAAAGGAACAATTCAAAAACCAGTCGCCATGATTTGTAAGAAAGGGGCCTACCGACTGGAACTGACTCTACTAAATCAACCAAATGCATCTAGATGCTACATGACTGACGGACCGTCAAAAATCAAATCAACAAATCACCAATCAACATTTAAACCACATGCCGCATGCACATAGGCCTAGGCAACAACAATCGCTTCCCAAGTGCTTCTACAATCCCTTGTAGCAGCAAGCCCTGCCGCCAGGAAGGAACGCTAGTTGTCCACAAATCTACTGGTCTTCTCCCGACCAATTCCCTTCTTCCAACCAATTTCAGACGCACCTGACGAGGAGACCTCAATCTCATGCACCTGCCATTCTCACGGCCGTTTTGACTCACCGTAGATTCAAACTCGCTGAGCTTTGCCAGACCTGTACGCCTGTTCAACCCATTAGCTGGTCTGCCATGTTCCTTTCATCGGGTACAGCGGTGGTGACCTGGATAAAAGGCTTCACTCTGCTGTGTGTACTCAACTCCATTCACTCCGTGTCGACGACGAAAGACTCACGGCTTCGTCGCCGGCTTCGTGGATCTCTTCAGATCCCTTCGAACGCCGCTCCGTTCCAAGACACGACACACGGGGACTCAGTGGCGTCGCTGGAGTTGCGGGTGGCGTCGCTGGAGCCGTGTGAAGGGTTCGACGGAGGCTCCGTGGCACCTGTTTGATGATCGCGCCAGGAGGCAGTTGCAGCCTGAGCCGGACTGGAGCTCAGTACCAGAGAGTTAGCAGATCCAAAAGGGGACAAGGACATGGGTGGGATTATGTGGATGTAACAGACTGAGAAGTCAAGCTGATAAATCCTGCATGAAGGTCAGTAACAGTAACAGGATGTAACAGGACAAAACTGAAACTTCTATAACCATCTATAGCTCATATACATGAATTGCTTTGAACAATTCTGCAAAAGGAAATAACTGTGACCGAAAATGTTCTTTGTTCTTTTTTTCTCCGCGGATCCCTATGTGGATCCTATGTTTTTTTAACAAACAAATATATATATATATAACACGTGCAAACTCAGGAAACAACATGAAAATCCCAAAACCAATCAGGTCGTTGGTTTGTCCGACTCGGCCACGATTTTTTCGCACGCTCCGATTCTGCAAAAAAAACGGGCCCTCTGGCAGGTCGCGTGTCTTCCCCCATTAGGGAGAGAACTTGATCGGCGAGAGCACGGTGAGACAACGCGCCGCAAATGGGCAAAGGACACCAAACACAAGTTGGGGAAACCCAATAGTGGGAAGGTGAGCGCAAAACACCCCCAAGAATAACCAAGAATATCATGCATTCCAAAATTTAAGGGCACCGACAGAGTATGGAAACACATACAAAAGCAATGGCAAAAGGCAAAAACCATGTTAAGCCATTTTGCTGGGGGAAATATGGACTTCTCTTGGAAACTGGCCAAACTGACCAATCCCGACTGACAACAAGTTCCGCAAGTTCATTTCCTCTTCTATTAGGAGAGGCTGAACAAATGAAGATTGATCACACAATTTTAGACCCCAGAACTGAAGAACCCCTCTTTTTTTATCCGGGCTGCCTAGGCTGAACGCTTGGTACTGGGCAGCTTGAAACCTATAGCAAGGCCACCATCACCTGAAAATCAATGCTGCTTTGCTGGGACACTCCCCCATTCATTCCCATTTTTCAGGAGCCTTCTCTCCTTGTCCACTTCCGCTTTCTTGGGAACCCTCTTCTTCCAGAGGGGTGGGCCCTTTTCTGCGGGGCCATGTCGTTTGAGGCCCTGATTCTATGTCAAACAAACGGTAACCCTGAGATAGCGGGCTGAACTTTCCAACTTTCGACAGCTGTGCGGACTGTGCTTCACAGCTCCTTTGCCCCGAAGACTCCAAGATTCCCCGCCTCAGGATTGACTCCTTTGATCCTGATCAAGGCTCCTTGACAAATCTAGGTCGATACAAGTAGGAGAGTCGAACAAGATTCAATCCTGCACTGGACCATCTGGATCCATGTCGACTTCTATCTGGGTGTGGGTCAAAACTTGGGGCTTCCAAGCCCTGGTTGGTTGACCTGTCAGGTAGTCCATTCTTTGATGGGTAGTACTGGGGTGCAATCAGGCTGAATATGAATCTGCCACCGCTTGGCGCTACTTCTTGAAAGAGCTGTCAAAATGACATCTAGTAATCTCAAGATCAAGGTCCACCAGCTTTGACCCATGGCCATTTATGTTATTGCATCATCATATATGTATATAGCTTCATAGTTGAATAAGTTCGACTCCGACCTGCGATCGGCCAGCCACGAACATGTTGGACATCTTCGTTTGCTGCCTGGCAGCGAGTCTTTCGTGGGATTTCTGGTGGAACATCTGCTGACTGCTGGTTGTTTGAGTTTTGTTCGGAGTCGAGTCGTGTATCTGGAAGATTGATCAACTCTGCGGCAGTGGCCAGAACCAGGTGTTTCAGCACTTTTTAGCCGATAGAACATCAACGCTTCCTACAAACTATAGGGGCAAAACGACTGCAGGGCACGTCAAAATGCTACAATGCTACATCATGGGTAAAACCCCTACTGGTAGATCACAAAAGTAGCAAAGTTGTTCAACCCTGTTGAATTACCTTCAACTCAAAACACGAGAGGCATCAGCACTGGTCAGGTCGACTCTACCCGAACTCGACACCCGAACGACTGGCTTTTGGCCCAATGGATTTTGCCTCCGGTGTCAAATCAAGCACCAAAAACGGATCCTCTTGCACAGCATGATGAAGAAAGCACGTCAATGCTCCCTCTATGGTCACGCTGTGGTAGCTGTTCAGAACCAGGTTTCTTCCATGACCAATCCCAGAAGAAACCGCATCTTCTGACGGGTGAAATCAGGTCTGACGGGTGCGACAGGTGAAATCAGGTGGATACCAGCGCCATCCAACGCCACCGTGCAACCGAAAGCTGTCCTCCAGAACCGGAGGTAGGTGGGGGAAAGCCAAACACATGAAACATCGGAGACCCCACAACGAACAAGAGGGAAAACAACACATCAAGTGCAAAAGAAAAGCACACGTCACACACCAAACAATAACCTTGTCGAAAAAACTCTTGAAATCCAAGATCCCGTTGGTTTCTCCAAACTTTGGCCCTTGTCTCAATTGGAATGGCGCCTCCCCATTTCTCTGATCGTCTGCCCGGGTGCCTGCGAGTGGTGGAAGGGCTTTCAACCGTTCAAACAGTCATCACCGGTCGCTCCAAAGATTTGTAGAGGTACGCCATCAAGTGCTGCAGGTCCTGCACATACGGAACCCAAGTAACTTCAAGCAGGCCGCGGCAGAAGCAGTCTTGCAGCGATTGTTTGAGGGATTTGGAGGTTGGAGGTCATTTTTGACCACACAGCATGAGGATGCGGATACGGATAAAAGCGTCACACCTGTGTAGCGCTACAGTGTTACAGTGCTACAGTTGCAGTTTATGTCTCTAAGGCATTGTAACGCTATTGTAAATTACAGAATAATGAGGACAGCTGACAGCACCAAAGAATTTGTGCAAAACTGGAAGTCGCAATTGGTCCTGGTACAATAAAACATTCCCAAGACCACCAAACAAAGCCACAAAAGCAGCGAAAACCACAATCATATCTCTTCCGTTTGAGTCAGAAACTGATCCGTTCGACCACGATGAAGGTGTCCTTCGTATAGCCACATTCGACACATGTGGACCCGTCAGCCTGATCTCTCAGGGCATTCCCTGGACGTCAATGTTTACAGTGTGAGGCTTTTAAGGGGTGTCCTTTCCCCTTGGCCGCCCTTGGCCGAAGAGGTGTGGGCTTTTTCTTCAACCCATCAATACCATCACCCACGAACCCGGTCTCCTCTTTCAGCTCGTGGATCTGGTGTTCATTCCTTAGGCGATCAAAGCGGCGGCGGTTGTTTTCGGCCGAAATTTGCTCCAAAATATTCACATGCTTCTAGGTTATCGCAAGTTGGTTGGAGGCCATTGCTACTAGGTTGGAGGCGAGCCATTCTTCTGTAGAGGAATTGGAACCACGCTCAGTTTCCACAAGGTTGCAAGCTGGACAAACCTGCTGAAAAACACGATGCGGACGCAACGGGATGAGCCTTATTTTGACATTTGAACATTCACATTCTTTCAACATGCAAACATATTGTCTGGAAGCCTGTTCTCCGTCTGGTAAAACAACTACTAGTGGTTTTGCATGGTTTTGCATTGCACGGTGTCTCCTACTGATGGAAATGGCAAAACACCTTGCGGTAGTTATTTGATACAAAACAAACGTTTGTGAATGAACCGGGCACTCCTTTCATTGGAAGCTGAAAGTGTTTTGCATGCATCTGCATGTCAGATTCAGTACCATAGCCCATATATCATCCACTGCATCTGGAGATGCACTCTACATCTATTCTATGGCTTACTGTGGTATGCGACGATGGGTCAAACCAAATTTAAGCGATTCATGCAACCTGGTCAAACCCAGATGAACACCTGGTGAACATTGATCCGTTATGAAACTGGTCCAATGACCACCCAAAAATAGGCCCCCAAAGAAGACCCACAAAACAAACTCAGATTTGTGCGATCCGTTTCCACCACCTCTACTGTATATCATCTATCAAATCCAAGCGATCCCAGATCCCTAGTACAAAAGCCTTGCGCTCCCTCCCGCCCTTCGGTCGACCGTGGCTCTTGTAGAGTAACTTAATGGTCTGCACCGCCTGCAGTGGTACTCCTGCGATGAAAACATTCAGCAGGCCATCCAGAAACCTTGGAGTCGTCGATGCGTTGGTCGCATACGGCGTGTCGGCGACTCTTGGGCGTGTCGGCGTGTCGAGAACGACGTCCGGTTACTTTATTTGTTATTTCACAGGGCGTTTCTTCTAAGACACAAACAAAATCATGGAAAGGTTCTATACAAGTTATGAACATGTTCACATTTCACCCGTCCGGTTAAATTCTCATTTCCACCGTGAACATGTTCTTTCACACATCTTGTGTGTCACTTTCACGTCTATTGAGTCTACTGAGCTTGCAACGTCTACTGAGTCTACTCGCCCATCTGTGGGCCGGTGGACGCTTGCCCATCCCTTCGACGGTGTCGGAGTCACCGGTGTCTTGGACGAATGGCCAGCTGGCCGAGCATGGCCCATGGCCATGTGCTGCAACCTTCCATGAAGAAGAGCAACCTAGAAGTTAGAAGAATCCCACATGTGGCTCAACAAAACTTCCAAGTTGTCCTGCCCTCCAAGCCCCCTTGGATCAATGGCTAAGAAACTCTCTCTGGCTCACTTCGCCATCTCCACTGACATCCAAAGCTAAGAAAAGCTCCTCGCTGCATTCGATCGTGTCTTTCGAAGTGCAATCCAATCTTGTTTGAGTATACCCAAGACCATCCATGTCTGGAATAGTTACCTACATTAGGGCCAGGGCCATGTAACATGTACCTATTCCATACATGGATGCTTTGAGGTTGCGGGTCGACACTGTCTATCTTCGTGGACCGACCCACGCTTGCGACTGGTCGACCCGTCCTCCATGCTTGCGACAGGCCCAGTCTCAAAGATCTCTGGTGGCAAAAGCTTCGGCGGAACCGCCTGAACCGGCGGTTCCGGTTGAGCAGCGCCGCTCAGTGCACGGGAAGGAGAGGGGTTGGAGGGCAAGCAGGGGGTGGATGGTGAACTAGCTGGTTGGCTGTTGGCTGGGTTTGGGGGTCATGAACATGTC